CTCCTCGCGGATCGACGAAGCTCTGCCCGATTTTTCTGGATCAGATCTGATTGCCAGGTAGTCCACGGATATCGACGTCCCCGTCACAGGCTAAAGACTCACGCAAGCAAGAGACGATAAACGGATCTTGTGTTTATTTTCAAGAAAGTTGTAATTTTTATTTTCGTTATTTGAATTCATTTGTAACGTTTGAAGTTTTAATGAAATCAATGATGAAGGCAACTTTTGACGAAAACAAGCTGGCGACCACAGTGAAAGCTAACAGCCTCGCTGCCGAGGCTATCGTGACGCAACCGACATTCAAGATCCGGGTGAATGAAGAGATCGAATATGAGTTCGATCAGCAGAAGTTTGAAGAGTACCTCTCTTCCTCCTCCTCCAGATCCGCCTCTCCAAACAGGCGCAGGAAGACCTCATCTTCCAAAGACGTTCGCGGGACCTTCGGCTCTAAGATCCAAGATCTCATCGCCGCTGCTGCACCCGTGCCCCGTGACATCCCGGCGGCATCCAAAGAGGTCGAGGCTGCAGATCCAGATCTCCCTTCCGCCACAAAGGCGACTGCTGAAGTTGCTCCAACTTTGTCGAAGAGAGCGCGCCAAAGACGGCGACAACGCCTTGCACGACAATTGGCCAAAGCCGCAGAATCGATGGACGGGATCCGCTACAATGAGGACCTGAAATCAAGGCAGCGCCAAGAACAACAACGGCGAACCGACAACCTCTCCTCTAAGGCAGAGACAAACGAATGGGTCCGCGTTAAGAAGACCCGCTCCACTCTCGAAGAGCGAATCAAGAAACGCCGCAAGCGAAAGAAATGCAGAGGGGAGAAGCAGTGGAGAAGCCGCCTAAGCGCAAGCAAGTTTGGGTGCCAAAGACAAAACCAGCACTTAAGGCAAAAGTGGGCGGAGTTATCGTCCAGCCTATTTCAAATCCAGATCCCGTTTCCCCTGTACCCGCACCTCCGACGGAGTCAGGAAAGAACGTGGATCTCACTAAATCCAGGGGTCCTTTGAAGGGTCGCCTCGATCCTGAAGATCGAGGTAAAGCAATCGTCAAGGAGCGATTGGGACCGTTGAAAAGTCCCCAAACAACAGTCAAGACTGGGGGTCGTACTAACAAAGGGAAAGCCCCTATTACCGACCGCATTGGATTGCGAGTCGAAGTTCAAGAGCCCGTTGGACTTTCACGCTCTCAAAGGCGTAAAAGTGAACGAGTGACTCTTGGAGACGCAAATAAAGCGTCGCGTCCCCAGAGGGAAACATATTTTACCTAGGGAGTCATACCAACACACGATGGGTTGCTCCGGTTATCAAACCAATGAGCTGTACTATAGGGCTGGGGGTGCGAATAAATCCCGGAAAAGAAATGTTCGAGACACGGAGCCTCATTGTCCGTGTGCCAACATAATCAAAGCAGTATTATCGGAATGCTGCTGTTCTAAAACCCCAAAAAGAGTCTCGGTGTTTGAGAGAATCTCTGCCAGGGCGTCCGAGGCCAAACCAAGGCATTTCCAAAGGAGGAAACCCATTCGCCAAGATGATGAATTTCCAGAAGTGTCCGTCAATATGACCGGCAGAAGGAAATCGACGCAACACTTAAACCCAGATCAGTTTGCCGATGTATCCCGGCGTATGACTCGGTTGCGGTCAGGAATCAATAAGCGAAAGAATTACCAAAAGATGCAAAAAGGACTTCCTTTGGAAGAGGAGGTATTAGATGCTGGTTCAGATTCTTGCTGGGCTATAGCGTCCGATGACACGGCATCGAGCGTGGGACAACCCTACGAGTCATTTATGATCAGCGCCAAACAAGTAACCAAGATGCTTGAAGAGGCCCTGGCTAAGCAGAAGGAAAACTTCAAGTTCGAGATGGATCTGGTCATGCAGCAGATGAGGGAAATGCATGACCAGCAAATCGCGACACTGACAACTCACCAAGGAGAACCCAGTCGTCGCAATAATCCGAATCAAGATGAGAATGAACGGGAAGAAGATAATGTTAATCCTGTCAACAATAGTAACGGAGGCGGTCCCTTGAATGATAATGTGAAGGAGGACCACGTTACCTCTCCCCGAAGCCACTCGAAGACAGATACGAGTGAAGATAAGAAGATGAAGGACTTGGAGAGCAAAATTAACGCTTTAATGTCTGCTCAAGAGGTAACGAAGACCGGCATTCCGTGTCCTTACCCGAAAGAGTGGGACTCGATCCCGTATCCAGCGAAGTTCAACCTGATCAACTTCACGCCGTTCGACGGGAAGGGCTCGCCCACTCAGCATCTAATCTACTTCAAGTCCCACTTGGGTACGATCTCCGGTAATGAAGCCTTGATGGTTCGGTCATTCGTCGGCACCCTTCGCGGGTCTGCCTTCGATTGGTATCGGCATCTTAAATTTGGAAGCATCAACAGCTGGGAGGACCTGGAGAGCATGTTCCTCACTCATTTCTTCGATGATGATGCTGAAGTGTCGATCAGGACACTCTTCGATGAGAAACAAAAAGACAGAGAGTCGGTGGATACCTTCATCAAACGCTTCCGCAATCAGGCAATGAACTGCAAGGATCCCATCACGGAGGAATTCATATTGCAGACTTGTCATAACAATTTGTCCATTAACATCTTGGACGTTATGGGAGTAGAGCCGCTCAATACCTGAAAAGAGTTAAAGGTGCGCGGAGAGCAGGCCGAACGCTTCCTCAGAAGGAGGAAGGTCGAAAGAAACCAACCGATGACTAACCCTCTGAATCCGGGTCTCGTTTCCCATAATGAAGGGCGGGCGCCTACAACAGTTGTTGACGTTAATCAGACGTCGCAACAGCAAGGAGGAAGCTGAAAATACTACGGATCCAAAGTACTGCGCATACCACAGGAGGATCCTTCATCCCACCAAGGCTTGCTTTACTTTAAAGAATAGCATCCAGACCTTGGTTGAAGCCGGCGTCATAACGCTAGGATAAGCCAAATGAGAATGGAAAGACTCCAAAGGGTATACGAGTATAAACTGTTTCTCAACACTCCAAAGAGTATATGAGTATAAATTGCTTCTTAATCCTCCGACCGGTATAAGAGGTTAAACTGCTTCCTGACACTCCAAAGAGTATATGAGTATAAACTGCTTCTTAATCCTCCGACCGGTATAAGAGGTTAAACTGCTTCCTGACACTCCAACAGGTATATGAGTCTAAACTATTTCCTTTCTTTCACGGGAAATTCCTGGAGAATTTTATACGTAATATTCTTAAGGATAACCCGATCATGCAACCAAATGCAATAATAAACCCAGTTTCGCGAGGAAGCTAGGGGTGGATGACTCATGTAACGGTAAGTTCCCGGAAGAATACTATATGTAATTTTCTTAGGGATAACCCAATCATTACAAATTAGGTGATAAGCACTAAACCCCCATTGTGATTTGTATGAGTCAACACTCCCGTTGTAAGTTGTACTCTCACTCTCACCTCTCACTTGGTCAAACCTTCCTATAGTTAGGGCCACAACCTAAAATCCCCTCTCGATTCCTTCAATGAATGAGAGGCCCACAAATCAAGCGATCAAACCTATAAAAGGTAAGATCGTCTCAAACCTCCCATTCCCAATGCTCCCTTGGTCAAACCTATAAAAGTTAGGGCCAAAGCCAGATTCCCCTCTCGATTCCTTCCATGAACGAGAGGTCCACTTTCAATTTGAGCAATCAAACCTATAAAAGTTAGGGTTGCTTGAATCTTTTCGATTCTCGGAGTGGAGATCCCACTTCTAGTTTCACTTTTCTGGATTCTGAGGGTGGAGATCCCACCTCGAGTCTCCTTTGCATCTGAAGATAGAATATAAAATTCTTCCTCTTCGGCTTTGGGAGATAGAATATAAAATTCTTCCTCTTCCGCATCGGGTTCGTCTTTGCCCTAAGAAAAGACACCACCTTTTCAACCCTCAAAATCCGTGCCTCACAGGTACGGGGAATTTTATCCCGAATCTTAAGTAGGGATAAGTCAACGCCTAACACGCGTTACCGGTTTAGTCTTTCACCGATTAAAGAAGACACCAGAATTTCAGTCTGGGGAATTTCATCCCGAAGCCTAAGGAGGGATGAGTCAGCGCCTAATACGCGTTGCCGGTTAGTCTTTGACCGTAAAAAGGACAAAAGACCACATATTCAACATTGTGACAGGTTGTTATTAATAACACCATAATCCGTGCCTCACACGCACGGGGAATTTTATTCCGAATCCTAAGTAGGGATAAGTCAACGCCTAACACGCGTTGCCGGTTTAGTCTTTCACCGAGTGAAAAAGACACCAGAGTATAATTCTGGGGACTTTTATCCCGAATCCTAGGTAGAGATGAGTCAACGCCTAATACGCGTTGCCGGATGCCATATTCCCGTAAGAAATGGCGAAGTCTATGTATTCAAAATCATAGCATTAAGTCTAAGAGAAGTCATTCTTTTAGCACAACGTTACATGTGAAACAGATTTTAATAATTCACATGCTAGCCCGATTCAAACGGTAATCGGTAAAGGCAGGTCAAACCCGTTGATGGCTGGGGGTTTGCCAAAAATCCCAAAGTCCATGTCTAACACGCATTGCCGGTTAGTCTTTGACCGTAAAAAGGACAAAAGACCACATATTCAACATTGTGGCAGGTTGTTATTAATAACACCATAATCCGTGCCTCACACGCATGGGGAATTTTATCCCGAAGCCTAAGCAGGGATAAGTCAACGCCTAACACGCGTTGCCGGTTTAGTCTTTCACCGATTGAAAAAGATACCAAGGTCTAAACTTGGGGAATTTTATCCCGAAGCCTAAGTAGGGACGAGTCAACACCTAACACGTGTTTAGACAATCCGCATGCTAGCCCGATTCAAACGGTAATCGGTAAAGGCATATCAAACCCGTTGAGGGCTGGGGGTTTGCCAAAAATCCTATAAATTTTATCATTGCTGGGTTCAAAGTAAATAAAGAAATATCATGAAAGAAGCAAATGCGGAGTCTCTAGTAATAGATCAAGTCAAAAGCATATAATAAAAAGCTCGTTAGCCCGAAGGCAACTGACGGCTAAGAACATGGGACTCTAAACTAGAAAGCCTGTCTACATAGCTCTGCTCAAGTTCTGCCTGCAGACTAGCTCGGACAGAGTCTTCGGAACTGCTTAAGATCTTCGCGGCTTCATTCTTCAGCTTCATCAATCTCTCCTGTGTAGATCCCAGCTTCTCGAGCGTCTGTTCACGAGAACGCTCTAATCCAGCCAGGTCTTCTGCAATAAGAGTAACGGACTCCTCGGCGTGCCTCAAGGCCTCCTTCAATCTAGCCACTTCCTCACGGCCTGCCTGATGGAAGCTGAAGAGAAGACCTCCCGGCTACAACCAGTATTAGCATGAGGAGGAAGGCTGCCCGCGGGGAACTCGACTGCAACAAAACACAAGGATAGAGTCAGAAAGCTCATAAAAAGCGAGATAAAATCAGTCACAGGATAATTGGAGAGACGATTTTGAGTGTCCTACACTGGAAGAACGGTATGCATCATCACGTAAATAATGTGGTAACATACACCGACCTATAAGGTGTAGGATGACACAAAATCGCCCCAATATACCAGAAGACTTGAATTAGCCAAGCAAGGCAAGTCTAAAACCTCAACCCTCGCGAAGGAGGGTGTCGGCCCTTCCCGAACGACCCGCGAAGGGGCCAAACGAGGGTATAACAGAACCACCAAGTCCGAAACCTCGACCCCCGCGAAGGAGGGTGTCGGCCCTTCCCGAATGACCCGCGAAGGGGCCAAACGAGGGTATAACAGAACCACCAAGTCCGAAACCTCGACCCCCGCGAAGGAGGGTGTCGGTTCTTCCTTCATGACCCGCGAGGGGATCAATCGGGGATACAAAAATAAAAAAATTCCCACCCCCGAAAAAGGAAGCCGCTGGAGGGGAGGATGCTGTAGGAACTTCTTCCTCGCTAGGCTGCGAACGGGAGCGACTCCTAGGAGGTCGAGGTCGACGTGGAGAAATCGAAAATCTGCAATGAAAAGCAGTAAGTTAGGTACAATATGAATTCGCGAAATTTAAAAGGGAAATTAAGAACTTTAATTAAAATCCTATGTATAAATAGGATTTTATAGTTGAAGTCTAATTAAACCTACAAATTTCGTGCATACGAAACAATGATTGTCATTTTCGCGGTAAATTTTGATGAAATACCCAAAATACTCTTCGTGTTCAAGGCTAAATTCGGGTCAAGGACACGCTCGAGTTGGGTCATGGTCATCATACCTAATAAATTTCAGCCATATATTTGCATAAAAGCCCTTCAAATTTCAGTTTCATATTTACACATACACCACCCAAAATTTCAGCCCTCCAATTTGCATAAAAAACCCTACAAATTTCAGCCCTCCAATTTGCACAAAAGCCCTCCAAAATTTCAGCCGAAAATTTGCACAAAACCCCCTCAAAGTTTAGTCCATCTTTTTGCACAAAACCCCCTCAAAGTTTAGTCCATCTTTTTGCACAAAACCCCCTCAAAGTTTAGTCCATCTTTTTACACAAAAGTCCCCTCAAATTTCGGCCATATATGTATGCATGAAATTAGGAAAATGTTGCAATCAAAAGTGAGGGAATTCATGTCCCTAATTTCGGCCAACTTTCAAGAACAAAAAAATCAAGATTTGAATTTTTCCCCAAATCAAAAATTAGGGTTTTGAAATTTGGAGGATTCAAGAGAAGAGAACCAAATTAAAAAAGCCATAAAGAGAGAGATTCTTACCCAAGCTTGAAGCACCTTTGAAGAGGAAATTTCGTTGACCAAAATCCTCCTTGCCTTGCTGGAAAACCTTGGGGAAGAAGAAGGTTTAGAAGGAGAGGGTGAAGGATTTGAAGAAGATGGGTTTAAAAGGCTTTGAACTCTTGATGAGGGAGAGTTCTTGGGGAGGAAGAAGCTCAAAAACAAAAAAAAATGATAAAGAGAGACCGGACTTCTTGCTGAGGACCGAAAAAAAAAGAGAAAAAAAATGGGGACGGGTTGCTGGAAATGAAGAGAGGAAAGAAAAGAAGAGAGGAAAGAAAAGAAAGAGGAGATTGGGTTTGTAATGAGGATTATTTTTGGTTGGACCAAATCCACTTGACCCGAACCAAACCCACATAGACCAAATCCAATTAAGCCATTTTTTTGATGGTTCACACGCATATGAGGTGTGAAGTGTTGGCTTGAATGTGTAGAAAGACTTGGGGATAATTTATATACACTTTGATCCCCTTTTCAGATATTTTTACGACGTATTTAACACTCGTATTTATACTCCAATGAGAATACGAGTCTAAACTATTTCTCACAATTGACGGGAAGTTCCTGGAAAATATTATGTATAATATTCTTAAGGATAACCCGTCAACCTCCGACGGGTACACGAGGCTAAACTAATTCCCGAAACTCCCAGGAGTACACGAGTATAAACTGGTTCTCCTCAGGTTGATTCGAAACCCTAGGGTCAACGCCGGTCAACGCGTAACCCTAGGTCAACGCCAGTCAACGCGTTGCAACAAAAAGTCAACATTTGACGATTCAAAACCCCAGGGTCAACGCCGGTCAACGCGTAACCCTAGGTCAACGCCCTTCAACGCGTTGCGACATTCGAAACCCCAGGGTCAATGCCGGTCAACACGTAACCCTAGGTCAACGCCCTTCAACGCGTTGCGACATTCGAAACCCCAGGGTCAACGCCGGTCAACGCGTAACCCTAGGTCAACGCCCTTCAACGCGTTGTGACATTCGAAACCCCAGGGTCAACGCCGGTCAACGCGTGACCCTAGGTCAACACCCTTCAACGCGTTGCGACATTCGAAACCCCAGGGTCAACGCCGGTCAACGCGTAACCCTAGGTCAACGCCCTTCAACGCGATTCGGTCGACCAACTTCGACCAACTTCGACCAACTTCGACCTACGTTCACGAGCAACAATACGAGAAATCTACTATGTATCAGGGAGAACTATAAGAGGAACCAATCAACTCTCGTCTCTCAACCTCTCAACCTCACATACATAGCCAACTCTCATATTCTCTCCAAAGCCCTCTTAAGAAGAAACCTAACATTTCTTATGTAGTTGGGGTTGTTACTTAGTTCATGCATTGTCCTTGGTTATCTCATCTCCAAGAAGTCAAATGCACTTTTTGTGATGAGGACAATAATGGTAATTTCCATATTTGTTATTTGACTTTCTTTTATTTTAGTTTTGAATAAAGAAGATCCCCCCAAAGCAGCTATGCCCAGCCCATCACCTCCTCCACTTGCTGCCGTCCCCTTTCCCGTTCAGCCCCCGACTCCTTCTCACACATCCACCACTTCTCCCTGCTTCTTCGCCTACAAACGGCCCGCCAAAACCCCTACATCCATTAACGAAGTCGCCGCCCCTTGCTCCACAAGCCGTCGACCTTCCCTTCCCTGCCCTCCTTCCTACCGAACAGCCCCACTAACACTTCCACAAGCCGTGCCTCCTTCCCCTGCTCTCTTCCATCCTCAGGAGGCCCCGACACCTAGCCCTACCTCCTTGCCACCTCTACATCAACCGTAAAAACCCCAGCCCACCGATTGAGACATTTCCTTTTCCGAACAGCAACCGACCCTGACCCCTCCTCCTCCATAACCGCCTACCCACGGGTCATCACATCGCCCTCGCCCTATCAACCTCGTTGTCACTCAGTTCACCACTATCGTCGTCGCTCAGTTCGTCGCCGTCGTCGTCGCTCAGTTCACCGCCGTCGTCATCGCTCAGTTTGCCCATGTCGTCGTCATTATTTCATACATCGATCGTCACTACTTGATAGCCTAGTAAATTATTTTTCTATTAATCTCGTTTTATTAGTTAATTGCATGAGTATTCTATCTCTAAACTCTTATCATATATTCACTGCTTAGATTATATTTGTGAGTTGAGAGTAATTGAGTATGTGATTGTTTAAATTTGATATTGATTGCAGAACGTGAGCATGATAATGAATATTGTAGCTAAATTGATCGAGAATGGAATTAATCATAACTATTAATGCAAATTTCGTTAAATCCATCTGTCACATGAGTTGTTTTGAATTTAATTTTCTACCAAAGATCATAAAATTTGGTAAAACGATGTGTTATATGACTTAAATCGCTGATTCTGATAGACCCCCTGTCCTGTTTTGCATCATTTTGTTACCTTAAGAGAACATTACAGTTTGGTGTGCTCTTGCATCATGCGAGTTCCTTCTCCTAGACAACTTATGCTAATGCCTTGTAGTATCTTTTTGTGAAGCACGTGGGGAGGGGGGGGCACAACGAGTTCAGCCGCAAAGGGGTTTTATGCAAAATCATGTGAAAAGGCTAAGACACGTGAAATGCTAAGTGGGAACGTGGACGTGGGGGCCACATGTGTGGATGCGGCTTTTAACCGATGGGTTTCACGTGGATGCGGTTTTTTTAACCGTTGGTTGCTACCCACGAGGCCATCTAAAGACGTGTTTTCTCAATTCACGAGCCTATAAATCTTAGTCTTTTCTAGGGTTTCAGATGTGTGCAAGGTAAATCGCAGAGGGGCGTGGATAGAGGGCTACACAGGTGCAAGTCAGAGCAGAAGAAAAAGAGGCGGCATAGAAAAATCAGTTGTCGGCGTGTGCAGGCATGCAAAAAAGAGAGAGAAAGTCTTTTGGAGGCTGATCTTTTTGAGAAGAAAAGTAAGGAGCCTATTTGAGGGTTAAAAGAGAGAGAAAGTCTTTTGGAGGCTGATCTTTTTGAGAAGAAAAGTAAGGAGCCTATTTGAGGGTTTAATTTGTGAGAGTTGTGTGATTGTAAAGAAGAAAAGTAAGGAGCCTATTTGAGGGTTTAATTTGTGAGAGTTGTGTGATTGTAAACCCATTTGTATTCTTTTTCTCCCTAATTGTAGATCCCCTCTCTTTGCCCCGTAGACGTAGGCAATTTGTCGAACCACGTAAAACTTATGTGATTTACTATTTGTGGCCATTATAATAGTTTATTAGGTTCCCTCGACAGGTCAGTCCTAGAACTGATGAGAGGAAGAACTGATATCTCACTTTGTTAAGATATTCGCTTCAGATTCTTGTTTTCTTGGTGAGACATGAATTCTTATTGCGATCTTTCTCTCTTATTGTACACCAGAAACTTTGCCGAAATTTTTGCTGCGCACAACAAATGGTATCAGAGCCCAGATTCAGATCTAGGGTTTTCTATTTTGGTTAGAGGAGTAGATCGATTTGAAAGCTCGTCTAGGGCTTTATTTGGTGATAAAGGTGGGATCTTTTGGTAAAGACTCTATCTTTTCAGTTTTGGATCTATTCTTTGTTCGTTGGTGCGTTGAGTAAGATATCGGGAAAAGAATGTGATTCGGGTGTCGAGGGTGGTGCTTCTGGCGCGAAGACCATTCAGAGTTTGAATATCTACTCTATGAAGATAGATGTGGAGAAGTTTAATGGCACAAACAACTTTAGGTTATGGAGAATCGAGGTTTTGGATGCGCTAAATGCGCAGAATTTGGAGGATACCTTGGAGTTAGATGACAAGCCAGATGATATTAAAGAGAATGTTTGGAAGAAGATGAATCAAATGGTGTGTGGTGTGATTAGGTCTTGTTTGACTCAAGATCTAAAATATGATATGATGAATAAGACTTCTGCGAAGAAGATTTGGGAGATTGTCGAAAGTAAGTATCTGACAAAGAGTGTTGAGAACTGTTTGCATTTGAAGATGAGACTTTATCGTTTCCAGTTGAAGAAGGGAACCTCAGTTAGTGATCACATGAACACCTACACAAAGCTTATTACGGATTTGGTGAATGTGGATGTCATGATTAAAGATGAGGACAAGGCGTTGCTATCGTTGAGTTTCTTGCCCGACGAGGAATATGTGACCTTCGTTCTTACTCTGATTAATGGGAAGACATCTCTTTCGTATAGTGAGGTGACTGCTGCACTTGTAAATTATCAGCTTCGAAAGAAGGATAAGGAGGCTTCAGTTGAGCCGGTAGCAGAGGCGTTGGCCGCAAGAGTGAAGGGTCCAAACCGAAAAAATTGAAAGTCACAGTCTAGAGTAGAACATCTTACAATTGGAAAAGATCAGTATGCTTAGTGTAAGGAGACTGGTCATTGGAAGAAAGACTACCCAAAGCTCGACGAATGGATGAAGAATAAGCAGAAGGGAAAATGGAAGTAACCATTATTAGAAGCAAACATCATTATATCGGATGGTAATATTTGTGACTCTTCTATTTATTCGCTTTCTATCAGTCCTACAGATAGCTATTCGGAGGAATCTGAATAGATGTTGGATAGTGGTACGACCTATCATGTGTGCCCTAGAAGGGAATGGTTCTCCAGTTTTAAGAAGCTGGATAGTGGTGTGGTGTACATGGCTGATAACCATGCATGCCAAATCCTTGGGATAGAAAGAATTTGCATCAAGATGTTTGACGGGACTGTTAGGGAGTTATATGATGTGAGATATGTTCCTTCCTTAAGGAAGAACTTGATTTCGATTGGAGCTTTGGTTGGAGAGGGCCTGAATGTTCGAATTGAGGACATGGTTCTCAAGATTATGGAAGACTCTCAGATTGTGATGAAGGGCGTCAGGAGGAATAACATGTATTACTTGATTGGATGTATAGTGACAGGTGGAGAAGTGACGACTTCTATTGATTCGATTAGACTGCGGCATTTGGGGCTTGACCATTCCAGTATTGATTCCTCGCATAGATTGAAAGAGGGTGCAAAGACCTACAGTTTGAAGTCTAGTGAACATGTTGATGTGAGCAAGAAGACAGAGGTGAAGTTTGGAACCTCTATTCACCGAGCTAAGGGTCGTTCTAGAGGAGTTCACGTGGATGTTTGGGGGCCTTTCAAGAGGGCATCATTGGGAGGTAATAGGCGTTTGGTTTTCTTTATTGGTGTCTGTTCTAGACGTGTTTGGGTTGCAATCAAATCCCCATTGGAGAAAGTCCTAGTAGTCTTTAACAGATTAAAGAAGTGTAAGATGGACAGAAAGGTGAAGGTACTTCATTCTGATTTTGTTGGGAGGTACAAGAGGGACCTGTTTCAATATTAGAGCCGAACTCAAGGCATTTCGAATTGAAAAGGAAATCTTGGGGCAACTAGATAGGGTAACAAATTTGAAGAACCGTGCCTTGCTGGAGGAGGATCGGTGTTTGTTGTCAAGCAATGGTTTGCAGAAGAGTTTCTGAATTGAGGCTTCGACATATTTGGGTCATCCTATTAAAGAGTTGTTAACTGCTGTGATAGGAGGTAAAACTCAATTAGGTGTTTGGTCTGGTAGTGTCACTTCGGTTGAGGCTTCGATGAGGGAGCCAATTGACTCCTTGCAGGTGGAGAGTTTTGGACAGACATTAGATGTATCGTGGCAGGTGAAGAGTGATGCTACTTCACATTGGATGGAGATTACTCTACATACTCCAGATCATTCTGTATCGTTTAGGATTCCAGCTGAGGTGACACAACTTGGGGATCAATTGGTTTTGGATGCAGATGATGAGTTGGTGTTGGATTTGAGTGCAACTGGTGGATATGATTTGGATACGATCATTGGTTCACCTCAGATGGAGGTGTTTAATATGTTTCAGTTTGAGGCCTTTGGGAGAGCTATCAGTTGTAGATCCATTGGTGATGTTGGTGAAGAGTTAAAAACTTTTCTATTTGATTAAGGCTTCTTGGAGGCCATTTGATGAACTACGTGAAGGCTTGATTACTTTGGCAAGAGGATACGTAGGCAAACTTTATGATACAACCGATTTGGTGAGTAGATACCGACATTTGGAGAGTGTTAGCATTCTCATTTGAGTTCTCGACTTGTTGTGGATTGAGTCTGTTGTCGTGAATTGTTTCACTTCGTATTAGACGCAACAAGTAAGATATTTGGTTTGGTTGGTGTCAGCTCAGTTTTGGGAAAACTTCACCGAGGTGGAGAATTGTCAAGCACGTGAGGGGGCCACAATGTGTTCAGCCGCAAAGGGGTTTTATGCAAAATCACGTGAAAAGGCTAAGACGCGTGAAATGCTAAATGGGAACGTGGACGTAGGGGGCACATGTGTGGATGCGTTGATTTCACGTGGATACGGCTTTTAACCGATGGGTTTCACATGGATGCGGTTTTTTTAACCGCTGGTTGCTACCCACGAGCCCAGCTAAAGACGCGTTTTCTCAATTCACGAGCCTATAAATCCTAGTCTTTTCTAGGGTTTCAGATGTGTGCAAGGTAAATCGCAGAGGGGCGTGCATAGAGGGCTGCGTAGGTGCAAGTCAGAGCAGAAGAAAAAGAGGCGGCATAGAAAAATCGGTTGTCAGCGTGTGCATGCGTGCCAAAGAGAGAGAAAGTCTTTTGGAGGCTGATCTTTTTGAGAAGAAAAGTAAGGAGCCTATTTGAGGGTTTAATTTGTGAGAGTTGTGTGATTGTAAACCCATTTGTATTTTTTCTCTCTCTAATTGTAGATCCTCCCTCCTTGCCCCGTGGACGTAGGCAATTTGCCGAACCACGTAAAACTTGTGTGAGTTGATGTTTGTGGCCATTGTAATAGTTTATTAGGTTCCCTCGACAGGTCAAACCTAGAACTGATGAGAGGAAGACTTGATTCTCACTTTGTTGAGATATTCGCTTCAGATTCTTGTTTTCTTGGTAAGACGAAAATTCTTATTGCGATCTTTCTCTCTTATTGTGCACCAGAAACTCTGTCGAAATTTCCGCTGCGCACAACACTTTTTTGGGGGTAATTTAGTTTCTTGGAGTGCT